AAAATTACAATGAAAAAAGACAAATCCAGAGGTTGCACAGGAGAGTTTCAAAGGTCCCACAGGCTGCACCAAGCCTCCCCCAGACTCCACCAGCTGCACCTCACATTGGACACCTGCAAACACAGACTTCAGTTCAGGAAACTGCCAACCATTCAGTTTCTCTCAGTCAAGTCCACTCACATACTCTGTGTCTCCTGTCCTTCATAAATTGTCTCTTAAAATAGCAACGAAGACTTCCACCAAGATGGAGGCATAGATGGAGACACCTTGCTTCCTCACACAACCAAGTTTAGAGACAACTAAATATTAGCAACAGAAAAAACAGCCAGAACACAGAAAATTGAACTTTTCAGAAGTCTGATAACAACAAATTCTTCAGCCTGACTGGTAAGAGGGGTGAAACCAGCAGCTGGCAGAGTGGGGTAGCACAGGAAAACTCAGTCAGATGGACTCAGGCATGCGGAATCCAGGCACAGGGTTGGACCTGGTGGGCAACTCAGCAAGCAGTCGTGGGGAAACAGCGAGGGAGCAGGCCTGCGGGTTGACTGCGGTCGCGCATTTCTGTGTGAATAGACAAGCAAGGCAGTGGGCAATTGGACGAGAGCCAGCAGCCCCAGAAGCAAGCGGCTGTGGAGGGTGCGCCATTTCCCCGCTCTGACCCTGCCTCCACATACAGCATCATTATCCAGCGACATATGTGGCCCTGCCCCCATGAACACCTAAGGCTCTGCTCTTCACCCAGCTGCAAGAAACAGCAGAGGGGGCCAGCATTTCCCCGCTCTGACCACGCCTCCTCATACAGTGTCACAACCCAGTGACCTGGGAGTCCAAGGCTCCGCTCCTCATACTTAAGGGGCGCAAACAGACCAAAAATGGCTCAAGAAGATCTCAAAGCCTCAGAGCCTATAAATCTAAGCGATGAAGAAATAGCAAAACTCGCAGACACACAGTGTAAAACACTGGTGATCAGGATCCTCACAGAACTGGTTGATTATAGCCACAAATTAGACAAACATATGAAGGCGAAACTAATTGAAATGAATGGAATTGCACAGGAAACCAATAGAGATGAAAAGGAAACTGGGACTCAAATCAATGGAGTGGAACAGAAAGCAAATAATGGCCAAACAGAAAAGAGTCAAGAACCAAGAATTAAAAAAAAAAAAAATGAGGAGAGGAACCTCCAGGACATCTTTAAACACTTTAACATCTGAATTATAGGGGTACCAGAAAGGGGAAAGGAACAGCCACCAGTGGAAAACTTATTTGAACAAATAATAAAGGAGAATTTCCCCAATCTGGCAAAGGAAATAGACTTCCAGGAAATCCAGGAAGCTCAGAGAGTCCCAAAGAAGTTGAACCCAAGAAGGAACACACCAAGGCACATCATCATTACATTAGCCAAGATTAAAATGAAGGAGAGAATCCTAGAAGCAGCAAGAGCTAGGGGACACTCACCTACAAAGGAGTCTCCATCAGACTGTCAGCAGATTTCTCAAAAGAGACCTTACAGGCAAGAAGGGGCTGGAAAGAGGTATTCCAAGTCATGAAATCAAAAGACATACAACCAAGATTGCTCTATTCAGCAAAGCTTTCATTTAGAATGGAAGGACAGATACAGTGCTTCTCAGATAAGATCAAATTCAAGGAGTTCATCATCACCAAGCCCTTATTATATGAAATGTTAAAGGGACTTATCTAAGAAAAAGAAGTTAAAAAAACATGAACAGTGAAAGGACAGCAAATTCAGTTATTAACAACCACACCTAAAACAAAAGCAAACTAAGAGAACAGCTAGATCAGGAGTGAACCATAGAAATGAAGATCACCTGGAGGGTTAGCAACAGGGGAGTGGGAGAAGAATAAGGGGGGAGAAAGTACAGAAAATAAGTAGCATACATGGTAGGTAGAAAATAGATAGGGGGAGGGCAAGAATAGTATGGGAAATATAGAATCTAAAGAACTTGAGACATGTGGACATAAAGTAAAGGGGGAATCGTGGGAAGGGGGTATGCAGGGTGGAGGGGAATGGAAGGGGAGAAATAGAATGACTGTAAAGGCATAATCAATAAAATATATTTTAAAAATGCAATAAGCAAAATGTATCACACACACAAAAATGAAACAGAAGAGAATAAGAGAATAGGAAAGGGAAGAAGGAGGGTAAAAGAAAGTAAAAAATAAATAGTATAGAAAAATTAAAATGGAATAAATAGTAGAAAAAGAAAAATAGAAAATAAGAATAAAGAAGAAAATAGCTAAAATAGAGTAAGTGAAGGAAAGAGAATAAGAGACATGAAAGAAAAAAGAAAAGATAATATATTAAAGAAAAAATAAAGAAAATGTTTTAAATGGCTAAAATAGGAAAAAGTGTGGATTGATTCTCAGATGGTTGTTCCTGCTGGAATCACACTCAGGATATGCTACTTCTGAAGTGTTGGGTTTCAGAAGCTGTAACCCCACTGACATGTGAAAAGGCTCCAAAGATAGGAAACCTTGAGACCATAAGCCAGTAAGGAGAGAAAATTTATTTCATCCTCTGTCCTCTTTACTTTACCCTGCTTAGTCCCTGGAGGATGGCTGGACAGTCCATAATTGGTATGATTCCTTAAGAAAGGAACAACCTAAGACAGGGATAGTAACAAGGGGACCATCTGGGAAGAATTTAGGGGATTATGAAGCAGGGACAAAAACCCTCAGCCCTCAGCTTCATCACAGCCTGAGTCCTCATTCTATCTGTAAAAAGTCTCCTAATTTCTGGGTTGCCTTTCTTCCCCCTAATGATTCAGGCCTGAAACAATGTTGAAGAGGGATGCATCCCTGTGCAGGGAAAGAGGTTTCCAGGAGCAATCAGACCTAAGAAAGAATACTTTAATACAGCAAAAGAAGATGTCAATGGAGTAGGATGAAGAGTATTCCAGCTCCCATACACGTGGGTGAAAATCCTGGCATAGCTACTGAGAAACAGTGCAATCAACTAACAGATCCACAACATTTATGAAGTTGGGAGAGCAGCGATTGCAACAGACGCTGAGGGTCCAGTCAGTGGCACGTCAGTGGCATATTGGGGAGTTGAGTGGAGACAGAAGCTGTGGCGGGCCAAAGACCACAGCTGGGTGGCCCCAGTGCTGTCACCATTGTGGCAGGCCTGGGGGAGTCTTCCATGGGAACCCAGACACTTAGGAGCCCCAGTGCTGCTGTGGTTGAGGCAGGTCTGGGACCTGCACCAGAGGTGTCATTTATGGGAGCCTGGACACTCAGCTGCCACCATCGTGGTGGGTCTGGGACCAGTGCCGGAGGAGTCATACATGGGAGCCAGGGTACCCAGTGGCCTTGGTAGGCAACCAGCGTGGGTCAGCACCTTTCTCCTTCTCCAACTGGGCAGCGCCAGGCAGAGGCCTTATCTGCTTGAGTTTACACAGAGAGAAGAGAGTAATAAGAACAAAGGGCTGTGTTCAACTGCGGACTCTGTGGTCATCAGCCCAGGAGAATTGAGAGGCACATTGTTGTCACTGGTATGGCTGGGGATTGGGCTAGGCTGAGAGACAGGCTATCTGGAGAGGGCATTTTTTGTTGTTTGTTTTGGAAAATGGACTGAGGTGCTTTCCTGCGATGGCTTGGTTTGTTTTCCACCCAGCCTGATGACGAGGAAGTACCATGCCAGAGACTGAGGGACCCAGGCAGTCTGGGGGGTGCACTGGTGCCTGCATCCCAGTCTGGTAGCCCCGCTGGTACATGCTGGCAACCCAACCCACAGAGAGGTTTTGCCACAACCAGAAAAACTGGTTTGGACAGTTTAAAACCCACAAGGGAAGTTTTCTTGTTTTGTGGTTTTTTTGTTTGTTTGTTTTTTAGTAATCTTATAGATTTTTAATATTATTATTGCTTTATCTTTCAATATTTTGACCCTCTCCTTTCTTTTTTTTCTGTTTTTATTCTTCTTCCCAAACTTATCGCTTTTTCCTTACTTCTCCTGCCCTTTTTTGTGTTGTTTTCTTTTGTTTGTTTGTTGCTTTGTTTTCTTTTACCCATGAGAGACACAAACAATGGGGAACTTCTAAAAGACCAGAGTGGGTCCCAAAGAGAGGGCATCTCAACAGTAGAGACAGAGAGACAAAGTTCACTTTGCTGTAGCAGAGAAGCCACAAATTGCTGCATACTTGTATTATTATTTTTTATTATTCCCACTTCTTTTATATTCTAATAGTATCTTTGTATTCCTCCTCCTTCTGTATAGGCTTCTTAGTATTGGCTGGTTATATTGTATTATTTGACAGGTTTATTCTGTTCTTTTCTCCACAATGTATTTCTATTTTCTATACCTCACACCTCTTGTTTTCCTTTAGCACACTACCCAAAGCTCTACACCTCCTATTCAGACAGATCTCATAGAGTTTCTCATATGATTGTTGCTCTAATAATATTGTAAATAATAGCTGTTCTATAAAACTGTAAATACTTCACAACAAATCTCCCAGATCTTAGCCCACTTTACAAGTTCCCAAATTCGATTACTGTAGGGATTAACTCTATTTGCTTACACACTACACCTATTTACTATTCCTCACTCTCCCCTTACCTCAAAATCTGACCATCTGCAACCACAATGCTTTCTGGTTCCAACTCACAAAACTTACCTCCCCAATAAGAGGCTTATATTTTGTCCATCCTTTTGTAAAAGAGGCAAGTTGGGTTGAAGTTTATGGTTAACACTGTATATAGCCTAAAGATTGTCTATCTCCTCTCTACTGGCTGTGACTGTAAATATCATAAAATACTCTTCTGCTGTCAAAAACCATGTTGCCTCCCCCTCCAACTGATTACACACACACACAAAAAAAAGGAGTAGGTGAAATCGGAGAACATCAAGATACCTGCAGAAGTCTGAAGCACTGAAATTTACAGGTAATCTACAACAAAAGTTTACTCCATAAACCCAGGGAGGCAGAAAAGATCAATTTTATTTATTTATTTATTTATTTTTTATTTTTTTATTTTTTAAATTTAGAGTGAGCGTTTATTTGCACAATTACAACATGCGGACAAACCCAGAGGAAGGAATAAGCCTGGCATTTGCACCAGGCACAGCAGTTGGTCACACCACTCGCACAAAGCGAGACACAAAAAGGGGGCCATGGTCTGTGATGATGTCAGTGGTGGTGAAGGGTACAGGCGGCACAGCTGCTACTCATCCTCATCAGAAGACTCTCTCTCAAACGTATATGCCATGAAGCAAGTGTCGGGTCTCTTGGGGACAAGGGGATGCCCCGGTCTCACAATCTCAAAGCCCATAAAGCTGAAGGTTCAGAGCAGAGCGGCTCTGTCATCACGGTTCTTGTGGAAGCAAATGAAGACATGGTCAACATGCAGCTGCTCCTCAGCAAACTCAAGAACAACTGCAAAGCTGTTTTTGCTCCCCTCTGGCAGAGCACCGCCTGGGATCTCAATGTAGAGGCAGCTGCTGCTCAACACTGCTCTCCAATTAATGTGTTTGGCATCTGTGAGCCTGGTCTGGACGTTGAGAATTTTCGTCTTGTTATTAGACGTTAGTTCCTCTGTTACATTCAGCCTATTATCAGAGTAAAATAAATTAGCTGAAAGATTGTGATCCCTCTGACTATTCCCTCGCCCACCTGGGATCTTCAGGGGTGGGTGAGGGACATCAGGAGCACCACTGAGGCCCTGGACCCAGGTTACTACAGCAGTTGAGAGAGACCCTGGAACTCTCACTGCTGCGTCCACCGTGGCTGTGCAGGCTGAGGAGCAGCATGGTGCGTGTAGCGTGGATGGTGGCACTAGGTTTATTTCCCTCCTTCTCTCTGGCGAAGCAGTGGCTGTTGAGGATCCGCTGCAGGGAGGATTTCACCATCCGGCCGCTGGAGTCCGAAACCAGGAAAACCTCCGCTGCGCCTCACTGGGCAGCCGCCACTGCTCACTGTTCGCAAAAAATCAGAAAAGATCAATTTTAGATGCTTAGGTTAATAAGAGTCTCACAAATAATGGGAAGACAAACAAACAATCCCCAAATGAAAGAAAAAGCAGAACCCTCAGAAAGAATGTTAGATGAAATAGAGGCAAGTCAACTATCAGATATTGAATAAAAAGCAGTGGTTATTGGGAAGTTTAAAGAGCTCACAATGAGCTACCAGAAACTACAGGAAAGCTATAATGATCTCACCACATACTATACCGACATGAAAAAGGAAATAGAAACTATCAGCAAGGGACAAGAGGAAATAAAGAATACAATTTCTGAATTGAAGAACACAGTAGAAAGTTTCAAAAGTAGAACCGATAAGGGAGAAGATTGGGTTAGCAAGTTGGAGGAAAAAGTAGAAAACATCTCACGGAAAGAGCAAGAAAGGGAAAGGAGGCTCAGAAAGAATGAAGAGGGATTAAGAGAAAATGCAAGATAATATGAAACATAATAATATCCGTATAATAGGAATACCAGAAGGAGAACAACAAGAACAAGGGATAGAAAATATATTTGAAAAAGTAATGGGAGAAAATTTTCCTAATTTGATGAGACAAAGTCACACAAACCCAGGAATCACAGAAATTCCCAATCAAGAGAAACCCAAAGATGCCCACTTCAAGACACATCATCATCAAAATGGCAAAATTCTAAGACAAAAAGAGAATCTTAAAGGCAGAGAGAAAGAAAAAGGAAGTAACATACAAAGAAGCCCCAATAAGGTTAGCTACTGATTTTCAATGGAAACACTCCAAGCAAGAAGAGAATGGCAAGAAATATTTCAAGTGATGAGAACCAGATGCCTACAACCAAGGCTACTTTATCCAGCAAGGTTCTCAATCTAGATAGAAGGCCAAATAAAGAGCTTCCAAAACAAAAGAAGTTTAAAAGAATATGCCTACACTCACTAACCCAATCTTCTGCCTCATCAATTCTACTTTTGAAACTTTCTACTGTGTTCTTCAAGTCAGAAATTGTATTCTTCATTTTTTCTTGTCCCTTGCTGATAGTTTCTATTTCCTGTTTCATGTTGGTACAATATGCGGTGAGATCACTGTAGCTTCCCTGTAGTTTCTGGTAGCTCATTGTCTAAAAGAAGTCTAAAAGAATATGCCAACCAGTCCTAAAAAAAATACTAAAAGAACTACTTTAAGGAAAGAAAGAAAAAGAGAGGAACAGAAAGGAACACAGATACAGAATTGGAAATGAATAAGTGCCTATCAATAATAACCTTAAATGTAAATGAATTAAATGCTCCAATCAAAAGACACAGAATAGTTGAATGGATAAGAAAGCATGACCCACACATATGCTGCCTACAAGAGACCCACCTTAGGACAAAAAACCATCACAGACTGTAAGTGAAAGACTGGAAACAAATCTTCCAAGCAAACAAGAAAAAAAAAGCCAGGGTAGCAATACTCATATTAGACAAAATAGACTTCCAAAAAAGGGCCATAAAAAGAGACCCAGAAGGCCACTTCACAATACTCAAGGGAAGAATCCACCAAGAACACATTAACATCATAAATATATATGCATCCAACATAGGAGCACCCAAATATATAAAGAAAATCTTAGAGGATTTCAAGAAAGATATAGACAGCAACAGAATTATAGTAGGGGATTTTAACACCCTACTATAAAAAATGGGCAGATTTTCAAACAAAATATCAAAAATGATATTGCAGCATTAAACAACACCCTAGGTAAAATGAACTTAACTGATATATATAGAACCCTTCAACCCCAAGAAGCTAAATACACATTATTTTCAAATGCACTTGAAATATTTTCAAAGATAGAACACAAAACAAGATTCAACAAATTCAAGAAAATTGAAATTATATCAAAAATTTTCTCTGACCACAAGGGACTGAAATTGAAAACCAACCCCAAAGCAAAAAACCCCAAAACACCGAAAAAAATGGAGACTGAATCGTATTTGATTAAACAACAAATGGGTCAACAACAAAATTAGGGAAGAAATCAAAAAGTTTCTGGAAATAAATGAAAATGATCTCACAACAACCCAAAACTTATGGGACACAGAGAAGGCAGTCCTGAGAGGGAAATTTATAGCAATAGAGGCCTGCCTAAAGAAGATAGAAACATTTCAAACAAACAACCTTACTCTATGCCTTCAAGAACTCAAGGAACAACAACAAAGAAGACCTAGAGCAAGTAAGAGGAAGGAAATAACCAAGATCAGAGCAGAACTAAATGACATAGAAACTGAAAGCACAATTCTAAGGATCAATGAATCCAGGAGTTGGTTCTTTGAAAAGATAAACAAAATAGACAAGTCTTTAAGTAGGCTTATCAAGAAAAGAAGGGAATGGACACAAATAAACACAATCAGAAATTAAAGAGGAGAGATTATAACTGATACCACAGAAGTACAAAGGACTATAAGAATTACTATGAAGAACTGTATGCCAAGAAATTTGAAAACCTAGGGGAAATGGACATATTTCTAGAAAAATATAATATTCCAAAACTCAATGAGAAAGAAGCAGAAAACTTGGACAAACCAATAACAGCAAATGAAATTGAAGCAGTAATAAAAAAACTCCCATTACACAAAAGCCCTGAACCAGATGGTTTCACAGGAGAATTCACAAAGCATTTAAGGAAGAGCTAACCCCTATTCTCCACAGACTATTCCAAAGAATCCAGAAGGATTGAAAACTCCCAAATTTTTTTTATGAAGCCAGCATCATCCTAATTCCAAAACCAGATAGAGACACAACAAAGAAAGAAAACTTCAGGCCAATATCACTGATGAACACAGATGCTAAAATCCTCAACAAAATATTGGCAAATCACATTTAACAATATATGAAAAAATCATACACCATGACCAAGTGGAATTCATCCCAGGGATGTAGGGATTGTTCAATATTCGTAAATCAGTAAAGTAATACATCACATAAACAAAGGTAAAGACAAAAACCACATGATCATACCAATAGATGCCGAAAAAGCTTTGGATAAGGTACAACACCCATTTATGATAAAAACACTCAGCAAAGTGAAAATAGAGGGAGCATTCCTCAATTTATAAGGGCCATATATGAGAGACCTACAGCCATCATCATACTCAATGGGCAAAAACTAAAATATTTTCCACTGAGATCAGGAACAAGACAAGGTTGTCCACTTTCACCACTTCTATTCAATATAGTATTGGAAGTTTTAGCCACAGCGATCAGGCAAGAAAAGGAAATAAAAGGCACCCAAATTGGAAATAAGGAAACAAACCTGTCACTGTTTGCAGATGACATGATAGTGTACATGAAAAATTCTATGGACTCTGCCAAAAAATTGCTTGAACTAATTAATGAATTTGGCAAAACAGGGGGTTGCAAAGTCAATATCCAGAAATCAAAGGCATTTTTTGTATAAACTCATTCAACAATGAATCAGCAAAAGCAGAAATCAAGAAAAAAAATCCATTTGATACAGCAAAAACAAAAATAAAATATCTGGGAATAAACCTAACTAAGGATGTAAAAGGCCTGTATGCAGAAAACTACACAACACTGTAGAAAGAAATTAGGGAAGACACAAATGGGAACATATACCATGTTCATGGATTGGAAGAATTAACATCATCAAAATGTCCATACTACAGGGAGCAATTTACAGATTCAATGCAATACCTATTAAAGTACCAATGGAATATTTCACAGACATAGAATAAACACTTCAAAAATTTATATGGAACCATAAACGACCCTGAATAGCAGCTGCAATTTTGAGAAAGAAGAACAAAGTACGAGGGATCACAATACCTTATATCAAACTGTATTACAAGGCCACTATAATCAAAACAGCCTGTTACTGGCATAAAAAAGGGCACATAGACCAATGGAACAGAACAGAAAGCCCAAATCTCTACAGTCAATTAATATTTGACAAAGGGGGCAGTAACATAAAATGGAGTAAAGATAGATAGCCTCTTCAATAAATGGTGTCGGGAGAACTGGACAGCTACATGCAAAAAAATGAAACTTGAGCCCCAACTTACGCCACACCAAAATAAATTCAAGGTGGGTAAAAGACTTAAATATAAGTCTTGAAACCATTAAAGTCCTAGAGGAGAACATTCGCAGGAAAATTTCAGATATTTCACGCAGCAACATTTTTACTGATATGTCCCCTAGAGCAAGGAATATAAAGGAAAGAATAAACAAATGGGATCTCATCAAAATAAAAAGCTTCTGTGTGGCTAAAGAAAACAGTATTAAGTTAAAAAACATATTTGCCAATGATATCTCAGACAAAGGTTTAATTTTCAAAATATATAAAGAACACACACGATCGCATTCTAAGAAGACAGCAACCTAATTAAAAAATAGGAGAAGGAATTGAACAGACATTTCCCCAAGGACATACAGAACACCCAGAGACACATAAAAACATGCTCTATATCACTAGCTATCAGAGAGATGCATATTAAAACCACAATGAGATACCACTTTACACTGGTAAGGATGGCTATCATAAACAAAGCAACAAACAACAAATGTTGGAGAGATCATGGGGAAAAGGAGACCTTAGTTCACTGTTGGTGGGATTGCAGACTAGTACAACCATTATGAAAAAAAGTATGGAACTTTCTCAGAAAAGTAAAAATGGACCTGCCTTTTGACCCAGAAATTCCACTGCTGGGATTATATCCTAAGAATCCTAAAACATCAATTTCAAAGAACCTATTAACCACAATGTTCATAGCAGCACAATTTACAATAGCTAAGAGTTGGAAGCAACCTAGGTGCCCAACAGTAAATGAATGGATCCAAAAATTGTGGTACATATACACAATGGAATTCTATGCAGCAGAGAGAAAGAGGGAGCTCCTACCCTTTGCAACAACATGGATGGAACTGGAAAGCATTATGCTGAGTGAAATAAGCCAGGTGGTAAAAGACAAATACCATATAAT